CGTGAGCACATCTCTTAACTCAATAGTATGGAAAATATTTATGCCACATCTACTGTCACCTAACTATACACCATGTCACAAAAATATTTCATTTACACTGTTGTATATTTATACAATCATAAATATATATTCATTTGTACATTACACATGTGATTTTACTTTTAGAATATTTACAAATAAACACAACATTCAACCTTCATCTCTATTCACAATCCTTTTCAAAACCTATTTTACTAAATTAAAATAATCAGGGCTGTAAAACCTACAAACTAAAAATATTTGTACTCCTCTGAATAACCACCACAGCACCAGTTCAGTGTTGCAGTCCACTACTACTTATGATGCTCTGACTGTTATTTAGAAGTAACACTGCTTTACTCAAACATAAGTTTAACAGAATAAGTTTATTGCATCTTTGAGGTGAACTGAGACATTGTGTCCTTGTTTAAAGTGATACCTATATGAGATCAGAGAAAATAAATCACATGCATGTTTACTTGTAATAAATAACACTAATGTCATTCCCAAATTGTGTTAACATCTGTGTTTACTATATTTACTGACATTATTGGATTGAAATAATACAAATAACAGATTATTGATAATTCACCTCAAGGACCCAATATTCTAAGCATTGACCAGCACTTAAGTCATTTTGTTTTATAATTTATAACATATCATATCTCATCATAAAGAAATCTATTTAGCCATTTGGTATATGAATACTGCCCTGAACATTATTATCTGCATGCATCTGAACCCATGGATCAACATAAACAAACCAAAAAATAAAGATTGTATTGTAGGCCATGAAATATTTTTGTAGTATGCTGCTGCAATGAAATCTAGTGTATAAAATATGAGTAATATTACTTACTAAGAAACGTAAGGAAGGTAGATTTTAGTTTGTTTATGGTCGGCCCATTTACTTTCACAACTCAGCAGTAAATTGCAAATCTTTAATTAAACTAAGCTTCAAAAAAACTACAGAATTCTGGAAATTTATAAAAGAATAATAATTACTATACACATGGAAAAATAGATTTAGAGTATAATTTTGCTTCATAAATAGAAATGGAAACAATACTCTGGTCAGTTAATAAAATTATTATATGTGCATAGCAAGTATTACCATATTCCGAAATATTAACCAATTTAATACTACTAAATTCCAATAAATCTATAAAATAATTCTTTATACTTACTATGAGTGAATGCAATTTTTATAATGGACTCCAGAATTTATAGGTTACTGGCTGCGGATCGACGTACGTACATAAAGTTTTAGTATTACTCAACAATGTCCTGGTCTAGGCGAGCCCGCGTCAAAAGCGGGTTTACAAGGAGACCCCGCTCCAAAACATTCAATCTAACACTATCAACACACAACTTTCCAACTAACCAATTGTTTATTGGTTAGTTGGATTTCTACACCAACATGACTGCTTATACAATCAATCATACTCATGTAAATAAATAAATAATAAATAAAAAAGCCTTTTATTTCTTGCTATAAAAATAAAAACAAAAAAAAATACATTGAAAACTAAGTATCCGTTAGTTACAAAAAGTCTTTCTTCTTTCCTCCTTTTCTTTCAAGAACCCCTCTCTTGGAAGGTAAAGGCCTCCTCCAGAGATAGCCAGTGATTTCTATCTTCTGCTATTCGCATCCAGTTTTTTCCTGCTATTTTTAAGATGTCGTCTGTCCAGCGTGCATTTGGTTTACCCTTTCTTCTTTGACCTGAAGGTCCTAACCATGATGTTGTTTTTCTTGTCCAGCGGTTGTCACTGAGTCTAGCTACATGTCCTGCCCATCGCCATTTTAATTTCTGTGCGTAACTGAGGGCATCGATGACTTTAGTTTTCTGTCTGATGTCTATATGGCGGATTTTTTGGATTTTTCTAATTTTCAGAATGCTTCTCTCCATACTTCTTTGAGTTGTTAAAATCTTGTTTTTTATTTTCGTTGTAAATTTCCATGTTTGACAGGCATAAGTTAGAGAGGGTAGTAGGCAGGTATTCATGACTTTGCTTTTCAGCTTTATGGTCATATCGCTTTTCAGAATTTCCTTAAGACTCCAGAATTTTTTCCAAGTGATGTTGACTCTTCTCTCTACCTCTCTTGCGTTATTGTGTGGGTTGAATGAGATTTGTTTTCCCAGGTAAATGTAGGTGTCAACATAGGTTAAAGGTAGGTTTTCAAGATATAATGGTATTTTAGTGTGGTTCGTCATAACATTTGTTTTATTTATGTTAATTTCCAATCCTACTTTTCGACTTTCTTCGTGTAGAGAGTTTATCATCAATTGTAGCTGGTTTGAGTTTTCAGATAATAAAATTAAGTCGTCAGCAAATCTGAGATGACTCAAGTAACTGCCATTTATATAAATGCCGGCTTTCTTCCAGTTTAGGTTGCGGAAGATGGACTCTAGTACCGCTATAAAGATTGTAGGGGAGATAGGGTCTCCTTGCCTGACGCCTCTTTTTATTTGTATTGGTGGCCCAGTGGTCTCTAGCTTGACTCTGCTAGTATTTTTGTCATAAATGTTTTTTAGGACTTGTATGTAATCCAATGCTACTTCTTGAGAGAGTAGAGCTTTCCAGATCGACGGGTGAAGTAGGGTGTCGAATGCTTTTTGATAGTCAATAAAAACGACATAGAGTGGTCTGTTGAACTCTTGAAATTTTTCTATAACCATCTCTAGCGAGTGTATATGGTCAGTCGTAGAGAAACCTCGTCTAAAGCCTGCCTGTTCTATGGGTTGGAATTTTTCTGTGGTTTCCTTTATTTTTTTCTCTATTATGGAGGAAAAAAGTTTATATAATGAAGGTAGTAGGCTAATCGGTCTATAATTGCTGATGTCGTTTGGATCACCCTTTTTGTAGAGCAAAATGATTTCCGACTCTGACCATTGGCGTGGAGAGTTTTTGCAGCTCAGTATCATGTTGAAAAGTCTAGTTAGTTGGATTGGATTAGATGTTTACATCCTAGTTTTATGGCTTCGTTGTTAATCCTGTCGGGTCCGGGACTTTTATCTGATTTTAACGATTTAATTCCTTTCAGCACTTCGTCTTCATCAATAGTTGCTTTCGGCTCTTCCTCTCTATTGCTCGGTAATTTAAATGGTGGTTGATTTGGCGAGTTATAAAGGTTACTGTAGAAATCTGTTGCTATTTTAAGTATTTCTTTTCGATTTTGTGTATTGTTAGATTTATTTTTCAACTCTTCAATCCATGATTTGTGTGTTCTCAGTTCTTTATACGCCTTCTTGACGCTTCCCGTGACCTGAAGATGTTTTTCAATAGTTTGTGTGCGATGTGCCTTATAGTCTTGATTGATACGTTTGCTAATGAGCTTATATAGAGCTCGTAGTTCGTTTTTCATAGCTCTTGTTTTCGGTTTTAACTTATGTAAAGCTTGCCTTCTGCTGATTAATACTTTTGTACGTGCTGATAAAACTTGGTTTATCTTTGTGGCGGTGTTGGATGACAGTTCTTGTGCTTTTTTTAAGCTGGTATTAATTGCGTTTGTTATTTTATCGTAGCCATTCTGTACGTCATCCCAGTCTTCGAGCAGATTAGTGACACAACTGTTTAGTGATTTGACATAAGTTTGTATTTCATTTTCGTTCCTTAACTGTGACCTGGTGCTTTGGCCGAATTGATTACGGTTTTTTGGTTTTGAGAATATATTGAAAGTTACCCTAATCGGTCTATGGTCCGAAGGGTAAGTGATATTTAAGACTTGTATGTTGTCTATATTTTTTGGTAAATTTGTTAAAATGAAGTCTATTTCATTTTTTGTATAACCATTCGGTGATCTCCAGGTCCATCTCTGTTTGTTGTTCTTTTTGAAATAAGTATTCATAACGCTTAAGTTGTTCGCGTGCGCAAAATCAATGAGTCGACTTCCTCTACTATTTCTTTCTCCGTAGCCGTATTTTCCCGTGATGGTTTCGTTTGGTCTAGGTTGCCCAACTCTGGCGTTAAAGTCGCCCATGACTATTAGGTTATTTCCTGAAAGTTGTATGGCGCTATCGACAGTATTGTAGAAAAGATCTATTTCTTCTTTTTTCGCAGATTCTGTTGGGGCGTAGGCTTGAATGATACTTAGGTCTAAATTATTGATTTGTATTTTTAAAAGCGCTACTCTTTCTGATAGTCCCTTAAAACATATTATATGTTTCTTTAAATGTTTTTTGATAATAAAGCCTACTCCATACAATCCTGGTGTACTTCCAATATGGTAGAGAATGAATTCTTCGTGTTCTTCTATTTTATTGCCGAGTCTCCTGGTTTCAGAGAGACCTATAATATCATATTTTACGTTTCTTACGGATTCTGTTAGTTCCAGTAGACGTGGATAAGTTGATAGGGTTTTAACATTGTAGGACATTATATGTAAGATGTCGTGGCGATGGATTCTTGTTGGTGTTTTCTCTGGAGGGTTTTGGTCGTAATCTTCCACGGTGACCGGCCGGATTGGAAGATGTGGTTTGATATTCGTCTTTGTTTGTAATTTGTTCTTCGTGAGAGAGGGCCGTAATTGTTATTGTTTTTTATTTTGGTTTATTTGGGCGCAATTGCGCATACTCATGTACAATACCCATTAGCCAATAATCTTAAAAGAATAGGTAAGCCTATTCAGTTCATTTCTTTGTCAGACCCCGAAATACGACACATATCCTTGATCCTATGAAGCTAGTAAGTGCAGAAAAAACTACATGTAAAATGCTCAATGGATATACCATTGGTATTGCAAGTTAGCAAATAAATATATGTGAATGGTTATTGTGTTAATCCACTGTCAAGTTATGGCAAGTGGATGAAGAATATTGCGCTACTGGCTGCGCATCTGAAGTTCAGGGTCCTCATTTTTGTCATTACATCGGGCCGCAGATGTAACAAGAATACTCCGACTCACCAAAGATTCGAGATTGTTCCACTCGACGCGAGTCACGGCGAGCGGGTGCTCGGGCAGGCCGGGGCGCGCGGCTAGCTCAGAGCTTGCGTGGTCGCGTCAGGCGACGCTTCTTGCGCTCGGGCGTGCCGCCCGCTGCATCCGCAGACGCGCGACGCCTAGTAGGCGGTGTGGACGCCATGCACTCCGTATTACTACTCTCCGCTTTCGGCTCTGGTTTACATTTACTAGTGGTTTCAGCTTTAAGCTCAGGTTTAGATTTCGTTGTCGTTTCAACTTTCAACTCCGGTTTGGTTTTAGGTTCAGATTTAGTTTCCACTTTAATCTTGGGTTCAAGTTTGAGGTCAGCGCGCGGCAGCTCTGTGGTGGTTTCAGGGACCGCACTGGTGGCAGCGACGACCTCCGCATCAGCTGCGGTCACTTCAGCCTCTGTCGGCTCCGAACTTGTACCGGCTGCCCACTGAAATTAATCAAATTTCATATAAATTTTACGTTTTTAGAGTAAAAATTTCACATTTACTAATGACACGACATAAAATACATACGTCCTTATTGTTACTAGTAAATGATAAACGTTATTTTACCTGTGCTAGTGAGGGAGCCGGCGACAAACGTAGCGACGCACCGCATTCAGCACATAGCGGCGGAACGGCTGGAGACCTGGACCGCCAGTATTGTAGCTCCGTTTTACACTTGTTTAATTCCTTAAAAAAAGATATAAGTTTTATGATATATACCTACTGTTTGAAACCATCAAAAGAAATACAGACAAAATTTATCTAAAACGACAAAAACTAGCAGTCTAATAATATATGATTCTAGTCAATTCAATACATTCTACATCTAATCATATTTTTTATGGTAATCATAGAACTTTTTTGATTATATAATAGAATATGTATTAGAATAATATAATATACATTTATATTATATACATATATAATCCACTACATACCACAACTACATGTTTACCTGCAACAAAGTCTGAAACTTGCGGCTTGTTTCTTCATTCTTCTTATCATAATCATCAAGGCGGTTTGCGTATTCCAAGGTCTGTTTCTGTTGTTCTGCAATTTGTTTTTGTTGCTCAGCTATTTGCTTTTGCTGAAGAGCGGTTTTACGCTTGCAACTGCGGAGGTCGCTTCGCAATGCAGACAGCTGATCATTGTACCTGGAAATTTAAGAAAATTATGTTAAAGACCAGTCTGTATTATAGCGTTTAAACTACACAGCTATCTATAACTAAAGAAAACATATTTTTGATTTAAAACAAATGATAAGATTTTTTAATACTAGTTTTTTTATGTTAATTTACTATAATAATTCCGTTTGATTGACTTCTTACTTTTTCATTCCTTGTTTAATGCGATGTATCCGTTTTCTAAGAACCATATTGCTCTGCGGCGGTGGCGGAGACGGCGGGAGACTCTCCTCCATATACATGTTAAGTGAGGACACACGACGGTCCGACACATTCGCCCCAGTCTGTTGCGACGACGACGATTCAAAGCCACTCGGTGGTGGCGAGTCCAAGCATATATAAGATTTACTACTTTCACCAGCTGGAACATCACAATAACATTAGCAAAGGTAAAATGAGCAATAGTACACTTGAATGAGCAATTATTAAATTTTATACTTACGCGAAAACGCTGTAGTGATATCGAAGAAATCAGTACCGAAGTAAGTAATCTCTGGCAAGTTGGGTTCAATGTGCTCTTTAAAGTATTCCATGGCCATTGTTGTCAGATCAAAGAGTTCATCAGTCACTTTGTAAGGTCTTGCCAGCTTCGTCGCAGTTTTTAAGTATGAGAGAATACTGTATACTTCATCTAATATCTACAATAAAGATAACAGAGTGGGTTTATAATATTGTTTGCAAAAGATTTTTTACTATAAGACTAATGTTGCTTATTTTAATCTGGATTCAGTACATACATTCTCATAGTATTCTGAGAGTCTATTAAATTCCATATTTACATTTAATCACTACCTTTCAGTAAATGGATTCGAAAATCCACTAACTACAAGGGCATTTATTTTATCTAAACAGTTTCCTTGACTACAAGTCACATGTTACGATTTTATTATAATACGTTTTTATTTTATTTCATGTTTCCTTTTTTGTAGTACCTGTGCAGTTACACCTGCTCTTTCGTTAAACACTTTTACATAAATCCTGTGAACTAGTCTCTAACAACAATAGGGTAGTTTACTAAATTTTATTTTAATGTCCGTCTGGTAGATTAATTTATAACTTTAGACACGTATTTTTTCTTTTTTAACAAAATTAAATACTTTCGACTATACATTAATTTGAAATATCGAGTATCATCACAGCGTGTCACATTTTGTAGCACGTTATGACGTAACGACCACCACTCCTAAACTTAGCGCCATTTTATCTAAGTATTGCAACTTAATACGAGAAAATAAAAAATAAGTGTCTAATATTTTTTCATTATCTAACTGACGAACTAATCAGATTTTTAAATTTGATTCCCTGGTAACTACCCAGTTCACTTCGTTATTGCGGTATCGCTAAAAGCCAATAGCGTTTTTCGATCGAAGAACAAATGAATACAATACAAATACTAATCCCAATGTCACGAAAGTCTTTATGAACTTCTTTGGCCACTTCGAAAGATTACAATTAGAACTGTTTTAATTTCAAAGACCCGCTTTAATTTTATTGTAAATAATTTCTGAAGCCTCATTTAGTTAATTTTATTGTTTCCTATTATGTAGCATTGTAGACCTACACATTATTATAAAAATACATGTGAGATTTTTTCGTGTCTCACCATTTCAATCAAAACAAAATTAACAAGATTTATTCGCTTTGCTACTCAACCCAATTATTAGGTACTACAACGAGGTACATACGCAAATCAAGTTGATCAATCAAAACCTGAAGCATACATTGAACTACTACGTAGGTAAATGTACCTACCCTAACAGCTTACTTTTCTTTAGTATAAATACGAATAGATTTTCATTTTCATAAATACGAATACTTTCTTCACAATCACGGAACAGAATCTAGCGATCTCACCAGTTATAAGCAGGTCAGCAGCGAGTTTGACTATCAGATTAGTTATCGTAAGTGAATGATTTTTCAATGACGCCACACGGCACGATACACGTGCTGCATTCTCTTAAACGCAGTAGTCGATTGGAGAATCTATTTTTAGGCGACAACGTATAGGGACAAGAAACCACGTTATTTCAAGTTTTATAATACAAAATAGTTTAAATTTTTGCATAGAAACTGGAGAGATCGTAAAATAGTTATTATTTAAAGGTATTATTTAAATACACCGTCAAAACGAAACAATACACGATACTAATGATGCAGCTATACCTACTACCGACGCTATCAACTTCGACCGCGACAACGTCGACCACAATGGTTAAGGGCAAACCATTAGAATTATAGGAAATCAAAGAGTAAAATAAATGTATGTATTCCTGTCATAGAAGCTTCATAGCGACAGGCCAATAAAATTGTAGGTGCATAATTAAGGAATTAAACAAATTTATTTGATGACAGTTTTTGCAACAATATCATAAAGGCAAAAATCTAACGAAAATCAAAGTGATTGGTCTAGTGATATTATTATTTACTACAACTTTGGGTTGAAAGTTATAAAATTGTATTAAAACATCAATAGTTTAAGTAGATTGAAGATCCTAAAACATGGCCTTATGATAATTTTCTGTAAACCAAAATGATAATCAATTTTGTATGAATGAATGTACAGCTAAACTAACTATTGTAAATAACACTATGTTTCTATTGGAAAATATTGACTTATGTTTCTACAGACCAGTCTTAAAAAAATACTCACATAGCATAAGCAAGAATAGACCATTAGCAACATATCTAAATAAATATACAAATATATGCTTACTTGAATCATTTGTTTTTTTGCTGTTCATGTAGTTACATGCCATCACTAAGTATGTACTTCAATAAGCACAGTAATCAACATTTCACACAATCATAAATTATAACAATAGATAACTCTTATGTAAATATTAAACAATAGGTCATCACTTAATTTTTTGGAATAATCTTTATTCTTTCTTTTGCCTCAGTAATGATAGACAAGCTCAGAATCACTTTAAAATTCTTATTCTTAACTACTTAATTTTATTTAATGCGAATGAATGCTTACCTCTCCTGGGAAGAAACAGCAATGTTTCCGTTCAATGTGTTTGCCAAAAGTCATTTGCAAAAGACTTAGTCTCATGTGCAAGGTCTCTATGATGTCCGATTCACAAGCTAAAGGATGGCTTCTACGAGCAGACTCTCTGCGGGGCATCTTTGCTTTAATTGATTGAAATCTATGCAGCATTTGGTTTTGTAACCGTTGAAATGTAGAGTTCAAAATACTACTACAAATTGAATTAAACTGCCGATTAACCTGCAAACCAAAAATATAGTCTGAATTCTAGCACAGTATTCAACCAAGAACAGTATCACAAAAACATGACACAATAATACTCAAATGCATGATTTTGATTTCAAGTTACATAAGTTAACCAAAACAGGAAAATATTTCACTTAAAATGACTAACTATTAAAAGTGGAATTCGTTTCTAAAGTAGCAACAACAGCTATATATGTATTATTCAAAAGTATAAAGTTGTAATAGTAAACAAGCCCAGGCATTAGAAATTTATATAGGATATTAACAATTTATAGATATTATAATATTGGCCCATTTGTATCACAAGTTTAATCAATCTAGAATGTAAACTTTATGTCCCACCTCAGACATGTAAATGAGTTAATCTAAATAAATGGTATTAAAATTTTTCATTATGCTTGCATTTGATGTTTATCATAATTGCAAGGCATTGAAAACTGCATAATACATCCTACAAAACTAATTACAAAGTAAGTCAAAGAAAAGTAAAAAAATAAATATTAACCATTCTGATCTGTGAAACACTTTTGAAGCCCAGATAGCAAATAATCTTTTCAATAACTTCAACTGGCAAATCAAGTATATTCGTAGTGTAAGTTTTAGGGGCCGGCAGTAAACTGCATTTGGAAGTACTGGCGTGCGGAGAAGATCCTCCAGGCATCAAGGTGCTAGAGTGACGAGTGACGCGGGATACCGCCACAGGCTCCGCGTGAGAGGGACCTGCACCATCACTGCCTCCATTGCCTCCTCCAACGCTGCTCATTTGCCTCGTCGACACCATTTTATCACCAATTTAGTCTTCACTTAGATATTCCTGAAAACTAAACTAGTTTATGAAGTCACTCGCGTAAAATTCAAAAATTCTCATTTTTTTCTAACACGATCAATCCGCAAGCTATTTAAACATTAGGAGCAAGAATTAACGATGAAAATAGTTACATTAAATATAAATATAATGCATATCTTTATATACAACAAAAATAAATTACACGAGAGCACCACCGAGTAAATTCTAAAATGGTGGCCATGGATGACTAGATCGGTACCTAATCGCTTGGGAAATTAAGAATGATTTTTACAGATTGCTTATTGAAACTATCATATTATTATAAACAATTCACTCACTGAAGAATTCATGCACATCTTATGTTAATTAAATCGTGATTATCTTTAAAAACAAAATTATAATTAAACGCAGTAGTCACAAAATGCGCTACGCTTTCACAAAAAATATTCTTTTTCACTTGGTTGGATGGAGAATAGATCATGGATGGAATGAATAGACAAATGGATGAAATGAGTGAGTGAATGTTTAAATCTTGTTCAGTGTGACCGAATGAAATGAAAACCCTAGCAAACCATAGATGTAATAAAAGCAAACAGACATTATTGTTAGCTAAAATAAAAAAAAAATTTTTTTATCATTGTTCTAATGATTGTTCCTAAAACTACATATTGAAAATATAAATAGTACCAATATGTTTAAATTATTGATAGTACGATTGGTTGCCACGGCATCACGACACGCCACGGCACGATAATTTGTATTTCCGCTTAATTCCGCCTTTACTGATCCGACATAAAATGAACATTGGTAACATGGGAACTTCAATTAATATAGTATCCAAGAGAAGTGTAACTGTTGCAGACCGCTAGTTTTTGTAAATTACTAGTTGTTGCCCGCGATTTCGTCCGCCTACAATAAGGCTTCTGGCAGAATTTGAGTTTTTAAAAGTCTTTTGCAAAGTATATTTTATTCTGTGGCTGTAACATGTTATCAGAATCTATTCTAGTATTCTCTTTATAATATTAGTGTAAATTACTTTGTGTGTTTTGTTTCGTTACTCATGAATAGTCTGCTAACCAATTTTTAGCAACTACCTTGAAAATTGTGGGGTGCTCTATACAAACTTCCACCCCCTATTTAGGTAAGTGGGGGTTAGAAGGGAAATCAAAGTAGACTAAGTAGGTATGTCCCTTTCCATCCCTTCATCTATCTTCATTTTAAAAAGCACATTTTCGCGATAACTTGTTAATTGCTCCATTTTCGCGTGATGCGCCCGCAAATAAACAAATAACCAGACAAACAGCTAAACAGACTAAAATTCTAAAAACTGTTGGAACGTGTTCTGTTATCCATTGTATTACAAATAATTTTATTCGAATAATTTCTATGTAGAGACTTTCGAACCTTTTTATTTAGCTTTATTATAATATCTGTATAATAGATGAATTTTAATCCTTTTTATTAGTTTTAATACAAAGGTGTTTTATGAAGCTCATAATTAGAAATACTTAACCCTCAACCAAAACTTACTTGTGTTGTTGTTGCGAAAGATTAATTACAAAAGTGAAGTCAAAATATAAACTGATCTATAGCCACCACAGTGCGAGCGGCAGTTTAATATTATATTTATACTTTTGGATTACTTGTATACCGTCACATTCAACGTTCTTGTTTAATTGTATAAAGTTTATTTTTATAATAAAATTAAGTTTTTTTTATCTAAACAAAATGCAAAATGATTACTCTATGGATTTTGATATTATCTTTGTTATCTGTCGTTTCACTTTGTCATTCTCAAAAGTCAAAACTGTCAAACATTCGTAATTTTGTCATGGAATCGTCAATTGAACGGAATGGAATAGCGAGGTGAAAAATAAAGTGCGTAATTGTTTATAAGCAACGCTTCAAACTTATATCAATATGCAAATTCTTTAAACACTTTATCAGTGTCATGTCGATTTCCGCGTCTTGTTTGCCTCGCTAGCCTAGTTTAATTGTAGTCATAAGTCCACCTGTTATCATTTCATAGATTATTATTTTTATCTTCAGTTGTGTTAATATATTTTTATAATGTATCCACGATGTGGTAGTAATGGTTCAATCCAAAATATCCACCAAACACCGTCGTCTTCTAACCAGAACACAGGTAAGTAGTACAGTAGTTTGTTATTTATTGGATTTTCATCAATCTCTGTGTCTCTTTAGTCTCATGATTTGAATTCCAAAGTCTCTTGTGTAAGACAACTACTACGTTTAAAAGTATTGATCTTGATTTACCGGAATTTTCCGCTGTATGAGTTTTGACAGTTTCCTTATTTTGACTAATGTATCAAAATTGCCTTACTTTCAATATAAAATATTTGTTCAATTATCATTGATAATTTGTAAAGACTTTTAGTCTATGTAAGGTTCACATAGTATTTTATAACTATAATATTTATGTTGTAATTTGTTTATAATTTAGGTATGCATCTAATTATACATTAAACAAAAATTCCTTGATGACAGTAAACAATAAGTGCCTTATTACTTCATGTTTGTGTGCTAAAGTAGGTCATATTTGGTTGTTGTGAAGCATTCAAAACATTTAATAGGGTTAATTAAATTTGCTTATATGATTGTTCAGTGTTCTAAAAATACTTATTGGAAATCCTTATATTAAATTACAGAGGATGAAGATGACAGTGGAGATAACAAGGCATCTGCACTGAGTTTTAAGGAAAGAAGGAGAGAGGCTCATACTCAGGTAATTATTAAAGTAATATATTGTGGAAAATACACCATACAACCACATATACATATAAAAAGGTTCAATTTACTTGCATAAACAAACAAAACCAATACAAAAGGTACAGGAGGCATTTAATACCAGCCAACAGAAAAATCAGTGAAAAGAGAATTTAAGACATTTGTAATTAATAGATACTTCATTTCAAAAGGTACTTTGGTAAAGATTAATGATAAATGTGTTTCTAATTTATTTTTGTACCAGCGCAATGGTTTTTTTTTTCTAGAAAAAGTGTTAATTATTCAGCATACTCATACATTGACCGTTTATTAGCCATTCTAGTAGTTCCTTTTCTTAAGATAATAAGAGTAAGAAAGGCAACAGTAACCACTAAAGCATAATTAAAATGATGATTGTTTTTAATTCTAACGATGGTGATTATTATAACGACCTTTTACATAGGTACATACCATAAACTTATGTAAGTAATAAGTGTATGTAAATAGGGTAGACGACTAATTTTTATTTTAATGTCCGTCTGATAGATTATTTAAAAACATTAGACACGTATTTTTTCTTTTCTCACAGAAACGAATAGTTTCGAAGATATATTGATTTGAAATGTCGCGTGACGTCACTTCTCAGTACATTTTTTACTAAGAAATGACGTTTTAGCCCCCACTCCTAAACTTTGATTCGTTTTATCTAAGTACTGTTTTATTATACGACAAAATAAAAAAATACGTGTCTAATATTTTTTCATTACCTAACTTACGGACTAATTATATTTTTAATTTTCATACCCTGTCATCATCCCCATTGAATCACATTCGCTGAAATACTCAAACACTACTCAATTGACTGCACGGTTGGTGCAGTGGCTGGGCAACCGGCTGCCGCGCAACGTGTCGCGGGTTCGATTCCCGCACCGATTCCCGCACGGAACAAGACTTTGTGTGATCCACAAATTGTTGTTATGGGTCTGGGTGTCATGTGTATGAGAACTTGTAATGTTATTAACGCACCCACGAGTATAGTTCTGTCTCTACAAATTCTTTGTAAAATGACAGAGATGGCACAATATTTATGTACAACTTAAAATTGAGTAGCCTTTAGTAGAGTTAAGTATTCGGGCGATTGTCACATAATGTTAATAATACTTACCGTAATTGCCTAATTTATCTTCACTTTAAAAGTGATTTCAAAACTATTTGATGTTTACACCAATTTGTTTTTATATTTGATGGTTCTAGTTTTAACTTCACTTTTGTACTAAACTCTTTTAGTATCAAACTATTATTAAGTGTTGGTAACAATATTTTATTTTTCAGGCTGAACAGAAAAGAAGAGATGCCATTAAAAAGGGCTACGATTCCCTTCAGGAGTTGGTGCCAACTTGCCAGCAAACTGATGCATCAGGGTACAAACCAAGCAAAGCAGCCGTGAGTTTCTTATCACTAAATATTTATATGGCGAAGGTTATCATACAATTTTGTTTTACCAACCTTGCTAACTAATCAATACTCAATATTGACCATGTTGTGTTTTACGAAGCTACGTAATTATAGTCTGCTTGCGTAACTTTGCGGTAATGTTTTAAGTTTGAATGCAATGTCCAATAGTTCTAATGAATTAGAAAATTACTTTGAGTGTGGACCTAGTATGTAATTTCGATATTTTGTGTACATTCCAAAGGCGTAGTACAATATCATAGATATGTAGATAGTAATTTTACTATTGTGATGTTTACTATTATAGTGTTTAAGTTCCATATGTGTGTATAATGATGAAATAACTGATTTTTCGTGAACACATACAAATACCTATCCGATTTAGTGAAAGTAACAACCAACAATATACAAACATATTTACTTGGTGTTGCCTTCTCGTGTTATAGATACGGAGGCCAGTGACACCTCGCGAAGTAACATGCGGCAACGGCGTGACTAAATAGACCTTAAGTTCCTACTCGTAAATAAACGAATACCTACATATGTAACTAGGTGAACATATGTATCAGAATTGGATTTACTTCAGACCTGATTTATTGTTTTATCAGTATAAAGCATTTATAACTATTATCTCTTTGGTATTTCCACTTTTCAATATTTTCACTTGACAGAATAATTAGAAAAGTATGGCTGCTTTGCCAATTCTGCATGGTGACCATAGCGTCAACTCTTACGTTGTTTTCACGATGGCGATAAATTGTATTAGCCTAATGCGTGACAATAATAGACAAGTCGTGATGCTGTGTGACGCACATGGCTTGTTAACCTCCAACTTCTAGGTACTGTAAATAGTATTATGTATTTCTTTGTATGATTTATAATTTTATACAAGGTACCTATGTATTGGAAATGCGCAAGTACTGGAGAGACGAGATTTTTTCAAACATTACGACGTAGTTTTTTCCTTTACAAGTCTCTCTTCGCACATGGCGAAAAATAAAAAAAAAACATATAGGTACCTAGAGATAAACGACCACGAGGATAGCATATGCTTTTTCAGTCAATCAAACACGACATAGAAACGTGGGCGCTCACCTCAAAACGGCAATAAACAAAAATTATCAAAATAATTGTAGATAATCAGGTCGCACTCATTTAAAATGTGAAAAAAAACTGAGTATTGATAGTAATCCTATTTACTTACAAGACAAAATTTAAAACTAGCTTGTTACCTTTACCTTCAGCTTTGTTCGCGGTGGAAAGGTGACTTATATGTATATAACTATGCGTTTTGGACGACTCCATAAAGAAGATCAAAATTGTGCTAATTGTCTAGTCTATATGGGACAAAGGCAAACCACGCCCATACATAAATATGAATGCTTATATATTAATCCAATTTTACCCCAAGAAACTGTCATTGGAACATAGTATTTTAGACACGGAAAATATTTGGTTTGTGATGAAAAGTATTGTATTAATGATGAAAATGTTTCTATTCTTCTAGGTACTTCAAAAATCTATAGACTACATCCAATACTTACTGCAGCAGAGGCGAAGGCAGGAAGATGAGCGGAATGCGTTGCGCAAAGACGTAGTTGCGTTGCGCATAATGCAGGCTAACTACGAGCAAATCGTGAAGGCGCAACATTCGGTACCAGGGCACAATGAACAAAGACTTACTGACCAAGATAAGTTTAAAGTGGTAAGTTACTAGAATTTTCTGCTTTCTGTAGATTGTTCCGAAAAGTTTAAACATAATGTAAAATCAAGTCCGAAATCCTGAGTTTGTTTTTGATAACATAATTTCGCGTGCATCTTCGCCCTCGTAGTATTTCTGTATGCCAATACGGAGCCGCGGAAGACTTAACGGGGTGCCGGGGCTCCGGCTCGAAGTGCAGGAGTAGGAACGGGGTGGTTTTTAGTCAGTAAGAGTCTGACACTCCCTCCCGCCTCACCCGGGCGGGAGAAGCCATTGGATGATTTTCCCCTCTCAAAAAAAAAAGTATTTAGGTAGTAGGTCCAAATCCTGCAGGATTATCAGAATCTGCTATATTGTAACATGATGTTAAAAGTAAAGTTTTTAAATCTAATTTCATTGCCTATATGGTACAAAAAAAAAAACATTTTTCCTCTATGTTCACATGAACAGTAACACATTTTGTAATTTAAAAACATCATACTCTTCCTTATTTTAAACCTACAATCTCATGTATCTAATTATAAACATTTAAATAAGTATTTTAAATTCAGTTCCAGGGTATAATGGACAAGTTGTTCGAGTCATTTGAGTCGGTGCCGACAAATAACTTCGCGGAGTTTTCGGCGGGAGTGTTCAACTGGCTTGAAGAGTACTGTAAGCCTCAGTCCCTGAGAACCATGGTCCACGGCGTGTTGAGGGAACAAAGTTATACGCCATAAATACATTACATACATTCATACATATTATTTGTCTTCTTTAAAGTAAATAGTTATGTAAAATGACACGGTACTACTAATTAAACTTCGATATGATTGACATGATTGTTATATATAGAATTTTATTGCTTTGATCTTTTTTGACGGTTGTAATTTTTTTTAATAGGTTGTTTGATATCTCAATCATGTTAAACATTATAATTAAATTGTTAATTAAAATATTTAGTCGAAGTTTTACTAGTAGTTTCTGAATTGCTCTGTTTTACCTAATATAGATTACATACAGTTTAATATTTATCTGCCAAATATACATAAGCAGATATAAGCGATAGAGCGAGTGATAACGTCGTAATAATATGTTCATGTGATAAGAAAACTCGTATCTTTACTCCTATTACATATTCGTTCAATGTTATTCAATTTGCACAAATAAGACGTATATTATTATATGTTTACTGTTATTGGAATTTATATCTATTAATTAGATAATTTAAATATATACAATATATAATTAGTATGAAATTTTACTATGTTATTTGGAAAAGTGTATATGAATTTAAAAATATGGACATGTATTTTTATTAGAGATGTGCCGACTGTGACTGGCGGACGACCCAATTTTGGTTATAAAAGAGACGTCTAATCATGCCTATCGATTATATCGATTCTATAATCGATATAATCGACTATTCATTGGTCAATTTCTATAACGTTTTCTTAAATTGTTTATCGTTTGCAACTCATCCGTATTATTTTAGCCACTATGCGAAGCGAAACATATCTTCTCATTTTCCTGATCTTATCTTAAGTACTTCTTAGATAAATAAGTTACTAGTTAGAGTTGTGCAACATATCTATCTCTTCCATTTTGTTGTCAGATTTCATCGTATCATAATTGTGACGCTCACACTATATGCAACTTTTATGCGTGCCATTACATGTACGTTTAACCGATTCATAGCTGACAACAAAAATCACCGAATAGTCGGTATTATCGACTAGTCGGCACATCTCTAATTTTTACGTTCCAATAGTTTATTTATTTCTCATAAGAAATTTAAAAAGTTATTTTTGAAGATCATGCTTATCATGTAAGCTTTGTGATAAAAAGATGTTCGCCAGAATTTGTTCAAGAATACGAATGTCAATAAATGATAGTGCCTTCAACAGTTTGATGTTTTCAATTTAAAATAAACACATGTTTCGTTATTTCTGTATTTTATTGTCATATCAGTATGTTTGCTTACCCCTACAGCTAAATATTCTAAGACCTAATTAGGTAGGTAATTCTAGTTAGAATTTACTTAACTTTTCTATGAAAAAGTTAGTCTATATTATATTTGCAAACAATGAGCTTAGTTAACGCCGAAAATAGTGTTTTCCAAACAAAATTAAGTATAAGGATTTAACACGCATTAGTTAAATAATCTAAATATTATATCTAATCTACTTAAAAATTTGTGATCTCTGGGCTAATAACATAAAGTATGAAACAGACACAAAAAATCCAATAACATTACGACTTGGAACCTACAACATGGAACGAATTTGGTGTCTAGCACATACCAGCCCGATACCTGCTAAGAAGTTGACAGCTACAACGCTACGAAGGCGTAGCAAACGTAGCACTGTCAACAGAAACTTACCGACTGCTGTAGTTTTCATAGCTGTCTACTAGCGGCAGAGGTCATTTATTCAGTTTTCTATTTAGCACAAGATTATTAGTTTTTTATGTCTTTTTTTTTTCTTTTTAAAATAAAACGTTGCCCCACACTAGGATTTTCTCCTGTGTCGTGGGTGCGTTTACAAATATACAAATTCACATACACATATATGAAACAAAAATGTACTCTAAGAATGACTTAGTAATACTAAAAAATCTAACAATGCAACACTTTCAAATAAAACCTAATGAGGTACGATGTACGAAGTAAAACCACTCTAAAACGTACCACAAGTAGAGGATACCATAAAATAGGTAGAGATTAGTTACTTTACTAGCAGCTATATCGAAGCTCAAACATCCCATCAATATACGTCGAAAACTAATAAATTTATTAGAGTTATAATGTTCGACATGTTAATGTTTTCATCATCTCCCACAGTTTTCATGATGGATGATAAATGATAACATAACATAACATAACATCACGCCGTTTATCCCCGAAGGGGTAGGCAGATGTGTACATTACGACACTTGATGCCACTGTACAATGTAACATCCAATTTTCATTATTTATGTTCTGAATGCCCATGTAATAGGGGGTGAGCCTATTGCCATATACCGATGAATGGATGATATTACCAACTTAATTATTCTACAGGTGAGACCAACGTCGTTAATAGTTTTTTGAATAGTGATTTCAATGTTTCTTTAGAGTTACAAGTAAGCAAAGCACGATTCCCGGGCTCTTTTAAATGAAACTCCGTATTGCGCCAGTAATATTACAAGTGAAATCGAAACACCGAACGAAAAATCGAATTCAATATTTCTTAGGCTGATGGACTTATTAACACACCATCCTTATAGAGGTATTACCTACACACTGTTATTATATCATTATAACTTTTCCTGTCACACGCCAAACGAAGAAATTCCAATAGGAATAAGTGGTACTTTTGTACTTTAATTTTATATATGTGTTGTCCTTTAAGTTTTTTTTTATTCTCTATTGGTCGACGTTTGTCCACCATTTCGCCTGATGGTAAGCAAGTTGTATGTGTGTACATAAATTAATCCATTAATATGTTACTTTTAGATCTTTTATTATCACATTAGAATTTATTTTCTTTAATATTGTAAATCTGCAGTAGGTACCTACCTATTATAAATCATTCATCATCAAATTCCAGACTACATATTATGTATGTAAGTAGACTTGGATTCTCGAAAAAATTATTCATTTACAGTTGCAATGCAACGACCTTATCCGATTTAAAGTCAGTTAAGGATCTCGTATACAGTTTAAATTTTCCGGCTTTCTACATCATTGTAAACTTACGCCTGTCTAGAGGAGTTTGTCAAGTTGTTGCTAAAATTATAAGTTGAGACTTGAGAGGCAAACTTTCCGGAGTGTTTGCAAATTCCTTTTTGTTTCATTAAATAGTTTTATTATTCTGTTGTTACTCCTCAGTTAACAACTGTTTTAGTGTTTATTCAGAATGTAATACAGTGCAGTTCTGAGGTACCGAAATGTTAGTTTTATAAACTGTCTTTAAACCTTCTAGTTTTGGTTAAGGACTGATAATACAGATTTGTACAAGAATGAATTTGATTTATACTTACCATTATTATATGTTTTACCAAAGAACTTTTCTATATTTCCTTGTGCCTGTAGGCTCTCAAACTGATATTATATCGTTCTTGAGTACAAGAACAACGTGACAGATTTCTGAGAACCAGGCAATGAATAGCTTCCATGATACCTTTACATTCGAGTCTTTCACTCACGTAGCACTCCCGAAGCACCCGTTTGCGATCTCGGCAGCACATCCTGTATCTACTTAGATAAAAACATCCCTGAAAATAGGTACAGCTCATCATATGTTCCAAAAATAACAAAAACAAAACACTTCTATTAACTACATTGAGTGGTTTATTAGTTATTGTTCCACACGATACAATATTATGTAAAAAATCATTAAATGTCTACTTTTTATAATAATTATACGTATTACACAATTAAGGTACATAGAATGATAGGTACGAGAGGTGATTGGAAATTGAAAATTGATTGTAGGTACAACACATCTTTGGTATAGGTAGCTTATTACTACTGTCTATTCTACTTGTTCAATTATCCTCTACTACTTAAAAGCAAGGAGGTACTAATTAAAAAATAATTATAATAATCCAGATTTAATACAGTTCGTTGACAAGATTGTATACTTCTATTCTACTTGTCCAGTCAGTAGCTGGCGGCTAGTAAGTACATATGTGATACGACATTTATAGATAACGACATTTTTAAATACATAAACTGTTAGGTGATTGTTAACCTCTTACTCAGTTTTCAATTTAAATAATACGTTGACAATTTAAATATAAATTGAACATACAAAATGCTAAACAATTTTATGATAGTCTGATAAAACCAGGCAAAAATAGATACCTAAAATCAGTCTTTCATGAAATGCAGTATAAATAAGGTGTTGATTGATTAATACCGTAACTGACTAGTTTTGTGCCAGAATCAACACAACGTTAGCAAATAAAGAAATCACCTTTATTTTTGGGATTATATACGAGGGCAATTACTCAACATGGTTAATGGTAAACGTGATAAATTATATTATACGGCCCACGTTCAGATTGAATTATTGTGGTATATGTTGTGCAGTCACATTATTTTGATTACCATGTATTTGATTGCTTTCACTATACACGCTCGCTCTCCGTCGGTTGCGAGAGTAGTGTGACGTCACCCATCGGGTAGCTCTCGGTTCTTCTCGCACATCCCACATTCTTCGCTCGTTCTCTAGGGGTTCCACAGCACAGTCTCTTGAGGACACACGCATAGCACATTAGCAGAGAGAACATAAGAAGTAAACCGATGACAACGGTCACAACTAATAATATCCTGAGTTCTCCATTGGACTTGGAGTCGGCTACGCTCGAGTTCCGACTCATTCTCACAGCTCAGCGCGTCCTCATCTGAAACAAAGAGTAGAAAAATCGTTTAAAATTGCTTTGTAACGTCGACGCTGGGGTACTTCAGCTGAAAGCTTCTGTAACGTGATTTTATGTTTTAATTCGGAATTTTGGAGACGTAGCGTAGCTAGGTGCTACGCCGTAGCAATTACTACAGGTTTTTACATTTCATTATAGGTAGGTACCCCTACATGTTTCATCATTGTATATGATACAATTAGACTAGATATTATAGTGAGTTTACATTTTGTTGGTTCCAAATACTTACAACTTTATTAGATACCTACCTGATACCTATGTATGTACCTAAAGAAACTATCATAAGCATCTACATACATACCTAGATGGTGTG